TACCACAAACAATAATATTTAGTCTTTAACAACCTTTAAATTGATTCTACATTATAAAATTTAAGTGTAAAAACTGTTAACTTGTTAACAAACTTAAGATTTAATCAAATGTTTTTCCTAAAATTTTGTGTCATTAAAAAATAGATCAGCACAAAGTAAAATGTATTTATAAACTATTTATAATATAACTAGACGACCCGCAGCGTAGCATGCGTCGCAGAATTGCTCATAGATGAGTGAAGACTTCGTGAAAGACACAGTTGTCCAAACTATATTAATATTCTCATATCCCAACCACTTTTAAACCGAATATTTCTTACACAATACTTAAATTGAGACCATTTCATTTCCGAAAAGAAAATATTACGCACCAAACGCAATTGCGTTATTAAAAAAAAATATATATCATATATAACGTAGTTATCGGGAATTATATTTTGAGCGCTAGTTAACTCATTATTGAACCACACTCTGGCGTATATAAATAGCCTGCATGGTGTTTGAATCGTGTTAGTGTTTGACCTTTGCTGATATATAGATATAGATTCCTTTTTGGGTATCATTGAAAGTTTGAAAGTTGTTGACAAGTGGGGGGAGGGGGTAAAAATTGCTTAAAAATTGTTGACGTAATTAATGGACGACCCCTAGACTGCATTTTTTTTTAGTAAAAAAAAAATAATACTGCAATTTATTAATTAAGAAAGCAAGCAGTTATTTTTATCTATAAAAGACTCTCACACTGATAAATCATGAAGTAAGCCCTAATCATAATCAATACATTTTAAAATTTAAAGCTTCATAAATTTATATTTATTTTTGGTTCATTGAGTTCAAGCCATATTTTGATATTTTTTGTAGTCATTTGATCCATTAACATTAATTTAGTCTGAAAAAATAGGCTATGTATGATGACAGGATCTAATTTTTAGTCTAAAGTCTTCAGTTGTTGACATTCATTTGAAAGTTGTGCCAATAATTATAAGTCAATTGTGGACAGGGTTGTTAATATTGCAATATTGTATTGGTATTGGTAGTATTCCCAATACTTTTTTAAGTATTGGGACGATATTGCAATACTTCTTGAAATTTGATATTGGTATTGGTATTGCCAATAATTATTTTTGATATTGGTATTGATTTTTAACCAATACTAAAAGCAATATTCAATAAATTCTCTACAACATTGATTGTGAATAAAGCTGAATATAATAAATTTTTCTTTGGTGTCGCCATCTTGCGAGTGACAATGCCAAACAATTTTTGAATGAGACTGATCAATGAAATGAATGATAATAGAAATCAAATCAAGAGACGCGTTTCACAATCACTGTTGGTTGCTCCTACTGATGATCAGAAAGCAACGTCGGCTGCTGCTGATGGTACAGATAATCAGCCAGACTTCTTCGCTGGATTGTCAGCCAGACGACATCGTGTGAATGATTCACCTGATGTGAATCAAGAAATTAATAATTACTTGGCAGACACTTCAGACAGTATTGCATCATTGGATGCCTATCCACATATCCGTAAAATATACATAGACCTAAATACAGGACTTCCTTCAAGCGCTGCTGTTGAAAGGTTGTTTTCATTAGGAGGACGAGTATTTTCCCCTCTTCGTTCACGACTGAGCAGTGCGCATTTTGAAATGGTTACTTTTCTTCGCCTGGCTAAGTGGTAATGGCCCAATAGGTGGCGTTACCCTGTGAACTCTACTAAATTTCCTCGTTAGTTTTCCAGATGTGATGCAATCCACTGACTCTGTCTGACTGTTTTTACTATAGTATGATGTTTAACCGTTTATGTATCATTTGCTTTTCTATGACAGTCATTTGCTTCATTCATCCATTCATTCATCCATCCATCCATCCATTCATTCATTCACAATATGTGTACAGTATACATATTAAAAATCTTGTTGCTTAAGGACGTTAAGGTATGCCAACTTATTTAGTATGTTGTCAAAGACTTTTGAATGCTTTGAGGAAAACTGATGAAGCAAGTGTTAACTATTGAACAAAATTTGGTTAAAAATACATTGTCTAAATTAGCCAAAAATGTTGTTATCGTTTATCGATGTAAGTGATATAGAGCGATGAATTACGTATTTGCGTTTTATTCGTCGAATGACCCAAATATTGATATTGGTAAGGCAATAATAAATAAATATTTGTATTGGTATTGCAATACTGGTTTTAAAATTGTATTGGTATTGGTATTGCCAATAGATTTTACAGGCAGTATTGGTATTGGTATTGCCAATAATTTTTTTTAGTATTGTTAACAACCCTGATTGTGGAACATCTTAAAATATGTTGTGGGATTCTTTGTATTATTGTGCTGTGTTAGTATTAGTTATTTGCTTTGAGGACACCTTTGAAAATGAATGTGTTAAACTTATTAGTAATTAGAAGTTTAATTGCTTAATATTTGGTGATATATTTCATTGTGTAAGTTTGTTTGTTGGTTTTTTTTTGTGTGTTTTTTTTTACATAAAAACAATTAATATATTATATACTTAATATTATTATGTAGGTCACTAACATTATTATTACTAGTATAATACTTTTAATAGGCTAAATAGGCCTCTGTAAGTCAAAGACAAGTGGTTATCAATCCTATTTCCATGGCAGCCAAACCCAAACTTAAAACCACTGATATTTGATAAGCCAATAATAATTATTTGTTATAAAATATTTTGATCAGTAAATTTTACCTGTTTTTAACTTCAATTTTCAAAGCTTTAACTTTAACCTCAAACAAAAATTTCAAATAAATTCTCAATTGAACAACCAGGATGGCAGTTTTAAGTTATTGCCAGGTGTAGCATTTATAATTATGTCAATATTTTACTATAAAAGATAAAATGATACCCACTGTAAATTTAAAAAAATCGAAGTTGCCATTTTGACAATGAAAGTATGCTATAAGTATAAACCCAATATGATTTTCGGAAGTTGCCTGGCGATACTGAAGTCCCTAATAAGTAACATTCACTGACATGGACTGAGATGTGCAGCCTTTAAATTTTAACATGCATACACTTACACCATCGGCTGGATGAAAATAATCAGAATCAGACGTCTACATTTTAATTTATGAAAAGTGAAAATATTTCTTTTACAAGATTGTTAATAAGTAGTCTATAATAATAATAGCCATTTTATATTATAAGCATAGAGTTGGAGTCATAGAGCAGAAAAGGTTTATAAAGTTATAATTAGTCCCTGCACCTACTGGTACTGCCCTTCTTCTTAGCCTTCTAGTTCTAGATCTAATAATACTTAACATTAACAACATAATAAGTCACAGTGACAGTTCAGTACAGTGACTCAAGTGACTAGGCTAGTACAAGGACACTAGTTGTACCAGGAGTAGAAGGCTGGACAGGAACTCAATTCAATCATTCATAATTCATTTTCAATGAAGAAAGCTCGAATGCAAAATTATTGAAAATGCAACAATAATAATTAATAATGAACATTAACATAGTATTAGCAAGTAAATAAACGACACCTTTTGAACTTACTTATTAAAAGTTGTTTACACGTAAAATCCACTATCTTGAAGAAACAAACACTGACTTAATTTAAGTTTCGTAAGAGTAAGGGGAACAATAAATTTCCGATTTAAGTTATGTATATTGCATTTTCCTTCTTAATTCTTTGATTACTTCCATGTTTACTAATCTACTTGTATTAAGAGATAAGAGATTATCAATTAGTTCATACTTGCCCCGAAGAAATGAATAAAGTTATATATTTTATCGTTTACTATATGCATTTCATTATTTAAGTTGAGTTACTCATCAAACGAAGCTGTTTCGAAAAGTTGAAATGTTATATTAGTCATTCAAACAAAAGTTCTAAATTTTCCTAATTTTAAATTAATTAAAAGAAAAATATGAAAATAACGACTGCTCATAAAATTGGAATATTTTTTGTCTACATAATGTTGGAACCATAATTCTATGTCTTCAAATAAAAGTAAACATAATCTTTTCATTGTAGGTGCTTGCTATGTTAATGTTACCACTATTGGGCTTTTTAAAATTTGTTTGCCTGGTTGTGATTCCTTTTTTTTTTTAATCTCTCCACCCCCCGACCCCACAAAATTTGAAAACAAGACTTGTCAAATATTGATAGAAGAATTGTTTAAGTATGGTATAATGTTAATGGGAGTTATTGCTACAACTTATTACTGCGTGTTAGGTGGCACACTTTTAACTTTTTGGAAGTTCGCCTCATGCGGCATTTAGTCAAGTTAAGAAACTTCCTAAGTCATTGGATGCTTACAATAAAAATAGCCTTTCAGCTCCAACTGAATTCACTGAGATCCACTGTTCTATATCTACATCACTGTCATCAAGGACTTGTAAAAGCGAAAAACACAAAATCCAGTGCATTCTATTACTGTTACGTTTAGTTCAAGGTGAACAATTTAATGATTGGGCAGAGTCAAATCCTATGACTATGGGCTAAATAAAATGCTAATTGATAACTAGCTATTTATGTATCTACCCCCCCCCCCCCCCCCCCCC